TCGTCCTGCTAGGGGTGCTGAGCCTGAGCGTGCGGAGCCTGGGGGTGCGGAGCCTGGGGGTGCTGAGCCTGGGGGTGCGGAGCCTGGGGTTGCGGAGTCTGGGGGTGCTGAGCCTGGGGGTGCTGAGTCTGGGGGTGCTGAGCCTGAGTGTGCTACGTCTGAGGTTACTGAGCCAGAGGGTGCTGCGACTGAGAGTGCTACACCTGGAGGCGCTCCCTCCTCGCAGCAGCTGCGGGAGTGGTACTTGCAGTACTGCAGCCTCCGGAGGGGCGCTTCTGGAGCTAGGGGTGCTGCTGGAGCTGGTGCTCGTGGTTCCCCTCCTCGTCGGGAGCCGCCCTCTCCCCAGAGGCTCCGAGAGTGGTACGCTCGGCGCTGCAGTCTTCGGAGTGGCGCTACTGGTGTCGCGGACCCTGGAGCTGGAGCTGGTACTGGTGCTGGTGCTACTGACACTGGAGCTGCTGGAGGCGCTGCTGGCGCTGCTGGAGCTGCTGGAGGTGCTGGAGCCTCTGGTCCTGGAGGTGCTCGTACAGGCGGTACTGGAGCTGCTGGGACAGGGGGTTCTGCTGGAGCAAGAGCTGCTGGAGGTGCTGCTGGTGCTGGAGCTGCTGGTGGTGCTGCTGGAGGTGCTGCTGGTGCTGGTGCTGCTGGAGGTGCTGCTGGTGCTGGAGATGCTGGTGGTGCTGCTGGTGGTGCTGCTGGAGGTTCTGCTGGTGCTGGTGCTGCTGGAGGTGCTGCTGGTGCTGGAGCTGCTAGTGGTGCTGCTGGAGGTGCTGGAGCTGCTGGTGGTGCTGCGGGAGTTGTCGCTGGAGACCCTGGAGCTGAGGGCGTTGGTGCTGTCTCTGCTGGTTCAGGGGGAGCTGTGCGGCCGCGGCCGTACTACGTTCCGCTCCTTCAGCATGTTCTTGGCCTCCCGCCCTCTCCTGGTCCTACTCCTCCCCTACCGAGTCCACTGCCTGTCCAGTCGCAGTCACAGTTACAGCCAGTCTCTCCGCTGCCGGGTCCTCCTTACACTGCGCCGACGAGTAGTCTTACGGAGCGTCGTGAGCCTGAGTCTCGTCCTCCGTCACCTGAGTCTCGTCCAGAGTCGCCTGAGTCGCGTCCAGAGTCGCCTGTCCGCGCTGTCCGCACTGGTCGTCGTGCTCAGCGTCAGCGTCCTCCTCCTGTCCTTGGCACTCACTATATGACCCTGCGTCCTTCCACTGCTCCACAGCGTGTCCCTCTGCCGTCTCCTCCTGCGTCCTCTCTTCCTGACGTTGCTGACCCACCGTCTGACTCCCTTCGTGCTGCCAGTCCTACTGTCACACGTCTCCTCGCCACTGCTGTCACTGACCCTTCCTTTGAGTCCTCTGCTGCGTCTGCTCTAGTCGCTGAGCTTGTTGACTTTGCTGCCGCCTGTCGTCTAGACTACGCCGCTAGCCTTGTTGCTGAGTCTGAGTCTGTCTGTCCTCCGTCCGTCGGGGGTGAGTGTGCTCTTGGCACGGACGTCCTTGAGGACAGACAGGAGGAGTTTGAGTGCTTTGCCGCTGCTTTACCTCATCTTGTGTCCATGCTGATTGCCCCTGAGGGAGACCCGGATGCACCAGACATCCCGACTCCGCGCTCTTACGCAGAGGCGATAGAGGGTCCCTACTCCTCTCAGTGGCAGTCAGCCATGGATGCAGAGATGGCTTCCTGGAAGTCCACAGGCACCTACGTCGACGAGGTTCCCCCGCCTGGGGCGAACATCGTCAGTGGCATGTGGATTTTCAGGGTGAAGCGGCCGCCGGGTTCTCCGCCTGTCTTCAAGGCGCGTTACGTTGCACGAGGCTTCAGTCAGCGAGAGGGAGTTGACTTCTTCCAGACCTTCTCCCCGACCCCGAAGATGACCACTCTTCGGGTTCTGCTGCACATCGCCGCTCAGCGTGACTACGAGCTTCACTCTCTTGACTTCAGCACTGCGTTCTTACAGGGCAGCCTGCACGAGGAGATCTGGCTGCGCCGCCCACCTGGCTTCACTGGGTCGTTCCCTGCTGGTACCCAGTGGAGCCTCCGGCGGCCAGTCTACGGTCTCCGCCAGGCACCCCGTGAGTGGCACGACACACTGAGGACTACTCTTGCTGCTCTTGGGTTTGCTCCTTCTACTGCTGACCCGTCGCTGTTTCTACGCACCGACACCACTCTGCCGCCGTTCTACGTTCTCGTGTACGTAGACGACTTGGTCTTTGCTACTGCTGACACTGAGGCACTCGCCCACGTGAAGTCGGAGCTGCAGAAAAGACCCACGTGCACAGACCTGGGTGAGCTGACAAGCTATCTTGGCTTGCGGATCACCCGGGACAGAGCACAGCGCACCATCACCTTGACTCAGTCACACATGGTGCAGCAAGTCCTTCAGCGCTTCCGCTTCACGTACTCCTCGCCTCAGCCCACTCCTCTGCCTACCGGTCACTCGCTCTCAGCTCTGCCTTCGGATGAGTCCGTAGAGCCGAGTGGCCCGTATCCAGAGCTTGTGGGCTGCCTCATGTACCTGATGACCTGCACTCGACCTGACCTTGCATACCCTCTTAGCATCCTAGCACGCTATGTCGCTCCTGGCCGTCACCGGAAGGAGCACATGGATGCCGCTAAGAGGGTGTTGCGCTACTTGTGCAGTACGTCGGGCATGGGGCTTGTGCTTGGAGGACGGAGAGACGTTGTCCTCACTGGGCACTCAGACGCTTCTTGGGCTGACGACCAGGCTACGCAGCGGTCGTCTCAGGGTTACACCTTCAGCCTTGGCTGTGGTTCAGTTTCTTGGCGTTCTACTCGCTCGTCTTCAGTTCTCAGCTCCAGTTGTGAGGCTGAGATCTACGCCACAGCCATGGCTGCACAGGAGTTACGCTGGCTCACCTACCTACTGACCGACCTGGGAGAGCGGCCTCGTTCTCCTCCAGTGCTGTACGTCGACAACAAGGCAGCCCTTGCCTTGTGTCAGGAGCACAGACTGGAGCACAGAACGAAGCACATCGCTCTACGCTACTTCCTTGCTCGAGAGCTGCAGCAGCGTGGTCAGCTTCGTCTTTCTTACGTGGCCACTCGGGCCAACACTGCTGATGTGTTCACCAAGGCGCTTCCGCCTTGTGATCATCAGCGTTTCTGTACTGTTCTAGGCCTTGTGCCTACTGTCCCTCACTTGCTCACTTCTTGACTCTGCTTGTACTGTGATCTCTATATATATGCCTGCATGGTTACACTTGCTAGGTTGTGATCACTGTACCCATTGTTATATTATTAAACTGCATGTGAACTTGTCTTGTGACCACTTGCTTGTGCTCGGAATTTGTGTGGTATCCTTGAGATCCACCCTGAGCTGTGCTTTGTTTTGCTTTGCTTTAACTGGTCTTGTGACCCCTATCTCTCCCCCACTTGGCCTATGGGGGTGTGTCAAACATTATATGTGTTGTAGTTTGTAGGCTAGGGGGTACATTGCTCTAGTGTTTTGTACTTGTACTCTCATTCTTGCTAGTCCAATCACTTCACTCATTCTGACAATACAGGTACGTATCGCTAGAGCAGTAGTGACTATTGCGATCCATACGGTTACTTTGATGCTGCATGTAACCTCTTGAGACAGTTGCGACAGTTGAAGCAGGTCGCAACCTCCTGGTCCAGGCCGGTCAATAGTCGCGACAGTTGACCCGCGACTGTTGACCTGCGTGCCCTATATGGGCTATTAGCAGGTGCGGTAAGGCTGCACCTTCTGGAATGTGGGGTATAACTTTCGATTTACTCCAACACGAAATAAACGATGGGGTCCAAAAAGTATGCATTTTGCAGAATAGGTAGCGCACTATAAATGTATCCCTGATGTTTAGGCTGAAATCATGCTCTGTTGGAAGATAAGCTAGGATTGAACCAATACTGCATTTTTATCTGTTCAGCAGCGTGGGAGAAAATTTGAGGGTAAATGTATGCTTCGATTAAATTTCCTCGTTTTCTTCTGATGCTACAGAAGGGCCTAGCCCCGCAACGACTCGGGATTTTCGGCTGTAAATTTGCTTCGTGCGCAAGACAAGCCACAATTTCTCCTGTGACACTGCTTCCAACGGTCTCATGAGTCATGACGCCATTGGCCCACTGGTTCTGCCCCTCCGCTAGGCGATTTGTTCGGCGGCGGCGCTTCGGCAATCCTTTTCATCAGGATTCGGGAAAACCGCGCGCGCCAAGTCAACAAACAGCAACAAACACGGTAAGTGGGAACCCTCTAGAACCCAACCCGAACACGAAAAACCGAAGCCAATCTATCTGAACCCTTATTCTTTGTCGCTGAATGGGTGCTTCACTGTTTTCATGTCGCTGTTGCCTATCCCTCAACTTGCATCACCAAACCAACCAAAGCATCCTCCCCCTCCCTCAATCTCCATCCCATCGCTTCCCCCCCTCCCCCAACTCCATCCTTCCCTGCACCTCCATTCACCTGTCTCCCTCAACTCAACTCACACCCTTGGTTCGTCGTAGGCAGCATTACTGGGGTTCGTGTGGGTGTGTGTGTGTGGCGATGACGGCGCCGCATTCCAACAGCACTTACATGCCCACGCGGGTCCAGCAGGCTTGTAAATATATTTACCATTTTATCACTTGAAAGCTGTCTTGGTCTGCTTCAAGATCTAACGGCCATTAGTTCGTCGCATCAAGCTTGGAGCTTTAGCCCTAGCTACCTTTCTTGCTTCAAACTCGGGCATCCAAGTGACCTTTGTAGCGAACCACTGCTGGCTGTGTTGAATTTTCCCTCAAAGTTTTACCCGTGATTCGATTGTCTTTCAGCGCCGCTAATTACTTTCACTCTGGAAGAGCAAACGCAACTCGCGTCGCTCGATGACACGTAGAAATTGCATTAAATTTCTCCAAACTCTTTCGCGGTAGGTACCATTTCCCACGCCGCCATCGATAGTAGCAACCCTTTCAAATCACCTCCCTCGCTGTCGTAACCCGAGCTCCAAAACACTTGGCCCGAATCGCCGCTGCCCTCTGGACCCTAGACTATGTCCGACTCGCGCCAGCAGCCGCTACTAGCGGACGACGGGCCGAGCGGCGGAGGAGCTGGCGGAGTGAACAGTAACTCAATCAGCGGAATGTACGGTGGGCTCAACGGGAGTTTCAAGATGGGCGGGGGCAGGTGGCGGTACCTGGCGGGCGCGGGGCTTCTGGTGGCGCTGGCGCTCTTTGCCCCGCTCGCCTACCAGATGTGGCAACCCAGCAGCGACGTCGCCTTGATTCCCTCGCAGTGGCAAGGTACCCATAAAATTGTTCTCGAACCATGGCTTGGTGCTCCAGCCGTCGACCTATTTACTATCTTTTCTTCACGACCGCGTGCCTCATCTCCGCTGTGTCCACCTCTGTCATTCCGCTCGTCCCCCACATTCCCTGCCCTTCCCGTTCTCCATCCCCCTCTTCTTTCCCTTTCCTCTCCTTTCCCTCCCCCTGCGTCTTCCCCTTGTTCCAACTTCCCCACGTGCGCCATCCCCTCCGCGCCCCCAGGCGTCATGCGCCTGTCCACCGCGCCAACCGGCACCGACGCCTGGAGCACGCTCATATTCTCAGCCGCTAATCCCGCCGGCCGTGCCTCCGCTCTTGGCGGGGAGGCGCGCAGCGGAGAGCCGTGGGATGCGATGGAGATGGAAGCCTCTGAAGGGCTGTTTCTCGCCGGCGCCGCTAACGTCATGCCGTCACCTGATGACGAGTTTTTGGCATCCGATGATGTCAGCCCGCTAGCTGACAGAGAGGGCTCCAATAACGAAATCCAGAATGATCCGTCGAACGATAAAAACGATAACGAGAGACCTACTAACGAGACGTCTAATACTGGAGACATGAATAGTGTCGTTGCGCTTGAGGCCACTGCTGTTACCAACGAAACTTCTGACGGCCGGGATGGGTTGCGCGGGGAAGAGGGGGAGGCGGAAAACCAGCGAAACCAAACCGGCGCATCAACCGCGGACATGCTGCGGGGATCTCCCCGCGCGGATGCGCCACCCGCGGGAACAGCGGACGGGAAAGAGCTGAGGGGGGACAGTGGCGGGGGAAGGGAGACGGGGAAGCCGTGGGAGAAGCAGAAGGGGTTTGACGCGGCGCTTCCGCGCGCGACGGTGAAGCTGCTGCGGAGAGTGGCGAAGGCGGGCCTTCCGGTTCCGCGCGACCCGTGGCTGTGCGCGACACGTGCTGCTGACGTGGAGGGATACACGCGACCTTCAGAGTAGGTGGAAATGGAAATGTGTGTGAGGAGAGTGAGGGGATGTATGTACGGGGGGCGATGCATTGGGGGGTGCGTGCGGAAATGCATGGGGGGGTGGTTTCTGGGTGGTATATGATGGCAATCCCCGTGCCCCTTGCCACTCCATCGCATCACCCAGTGCACCCAACGCACAGCTCCCTTGTATCAACCAGCTGAGTGCGGGAACTGCATGGTGCTCCCTTGAAGGCACCATCCGCGTGGACGACCGCGCCAGCTCTGACGACTTTCTCACCAGCTCCTTGCCTGCTCTCGTCCCCCCTCTAACCCCACTCCCCTTTCCCCCCTTCTCCTACCTTCAATCCCCTCTCTTCCGCTCCTGTTCCGCTCCCCGCGCAGGGAGGTGCGCGCGCAGTACGTGTTCCGCGGCAGCACGGTGGACCTGGCGGACTGCTTTTAAGGTCGGCATCTCTCCCCTCCATCCCTCTCCTCTCCGCCCCAACCCCTCACCTGCCCTTCTCCTTTCAGGGAGGTGCGCGGGCAGTACGTGTTCCGCGGCAGCACGGTGGACCTGGCAGACTGCCGCCTCTTCCACGCCGCGCTCACCACGCCCTCGCCCTTCAACGCCACCTTCTCCACCCTCTCCCGCTCCGACCCGCTGCCCCTTCCCCTCTCCGAACCCTCTTCCTCCTCCACCTCCTCTCCCTCCTCCGCCTCCTCCTCTTCATCCACCTCTCCCTCCGCCCCCTCCTCCCCCTCCGCCGCGGCTCCCCCGATCCCCAAGATTGCCTTTCTCTTCCTCACGCGCGGGCCGCTCCCCTTAGCGCCGCTGTGGGAGCGCTTCTTGCGCAACCACTCGGCGTACTTCAGCGCGTACATGCACGCCGCCACGCCCGGCTTCCGCGTGGAGCCCCGCGTGCGGAAGAGCCTCAACCTGCGCGCCGTGCCCAGCAAGCCCGTGTTCTGGGGCACGCTCAGCATCGTGGAGGCCATCAAGGTGAGCTTCAGGGGTTGTGAAAGGAAGGGGCCAGGGAAGGGGGAAGGTGGGGGGTGGGAGGGGTCATGCACAGTTCAATGCTCCTCGTGTCCTCGCTTTTCCCCTATTCTCCCTCGCCCTCTTCCAGCCATCCCCATCCCCATTCCCATTCCCATTCCTGTCCCCGTCCCCACCACCATCCCCATCCCCATCCCCATCCCCATCCCCATCCCCATCCCTGTCCCCACCACCGTCCCCATCCCCGTCCCCACCACCATTCCCATCCCCATTCCCTCCCATTCCTTTCTCATCGTCCTTGCCTCTCACCTCCCCCATCCCCACCCCCTCCCTCGCTCCAACACAACAGCGGCTCCTCGCCACAGCTCTCCTGGATCCGCACAACATGCGCTTTGTGGTGGTGAGCGAGAGGGACGTGCCGCTGCATGCCTTCCCCACGGTGTACCGCTACCTGCTGGCGTCCAACCAGTCGTACGTGGGCGGTTACCGCAAGTTCTTCCGCGACAACAAGGCCGCCATCAAGGTCTTCCCGCGCTCGCTTGTGGTCGACGGCTGGATGCACGGCGAGTGCTGGGTCGAGATGGCCAGACCGTGAGTGCCGCTGCCACACCTTTTTGCTACCTGTACACCACCGTGTGCTTTATGTGCTGCTGTTGCATGAAGAAGTGCCAAGGATGCTTCCTAGGATCCCTTAGCAGGGCGTGCAGTGCGAAGGTGGTGATGGATAATCATATGATGCACGGTATTATGATGCATGGTCATATGATGCACGGTATTATGATGCATGGTCATATGATGCACTGTATTATGATGCATGGTCATATGATGCATGGCCATATGATGCACGGTATTATGATGCATGGTCATATGATGCACGGTAATATGATGCACGGTCGCATGATGCATGGTCATTTGGTGCACGGTCGTATGATGCACGGTCATATGATGCACGGTTGTATGATGCACGGTTGTATGATGCACGGTCGTATGATGGATGGACAATGTACCACTTAACAACAGCACCACATTCCAGCACAACAGGCAGGAAACTCACCACCTTATCTCCCGTTCCCCAACCTCTCTCCAACCCTCACCGTGCACATATGCATGGATCCATGCAGGCATGCGATGGAGGTGGTGCGGGACTGGGAGTGGCACGAGAAGGGGCGGGACTACTGCCAGGTGATGCAGCGGCCCACATGCTGTGTGGACGAGAATCTCATCCACAACATCATCACCTCCAAGCACCCGCATCAAGTGGCCAACCGCAGCATTATGAGCGTTGATTGGCAGCGAAAAACAGGCCACCCACACACATACCTCCCTCGGGACATATCCCCTGAGTCGATGCGGAGCATTCAGGAGGAGTGGCATGAGAACCAGAAGCGGCCCTACTCGCAGCCAATGTTTCTGCTGCCCAAGGAGTCGCAGCAGTTTGTCATGTCCAACCGGCGCTGTACAGTGAGTGGGGAGAATTCCACGTGCTGGCTCTTTGCACGCAAGTTCATCGGGCTGTCGCTGCGAGCTCTCATGGACCTTCCAAGAGACGTGCTTGGATACTAGCGAGTAATTAATTAGGGGCAGCTGGTCGCTGCCCCATTACTAAATATGATTACTATAAATATGTCAGAGGTCCATTGGTGATCCCCGATTGTTCCTAGGGAAGGGTTACAGACACGTTGGTCTGGGGGGTTATGGGCGCACTCACCCGCTATACAAACAAGCCCTTTTATCCTAATGGTCTAGTGGTTGGGATTCTGACAAAATACACTCTACGCACTGAGATTGCATATGCTGCTAGCTGTACTGATTTCTAAATTTGTATTGATGGACTATGAGGCAAGTCCCTCATTCATGAAATACATTTTCCAACAGGACTGCCTTCTTCAGATTTGTCTGCTGGAGGAAACTGTAAGGATTTACGAATCCTTACTGAGGCACTCGTTAGCGAGGCCATCCCGAGGGTCACGCGACGAACTTGTTCGGCCTATTTCGTCGGCCGAACCACTCCAGAGTCGGCCTCCGCTCCAATCGCAACCATCACCGAGCCATCCTTTGTCAGAGTATGTTATTTGTGTAGCCTGCAGTGGGGTACTCAATAGTGAGTACAGCCCCTTAGGGTTTGCTATTTGTATCCTGCTGCTTGCTAGTCCAATCATTCCTTTTCTCAATTCTGTTCGTGCTCACAACTCTCGATCGTACTTGGCGCCTCCTTCCTAGTCTTAGCTTGGCCTAGGCTACTAAGCCTAGGCCCGCCTGATAGTATGTTTGACATGGTATCAGAGGGCGGCGTGTCACTGCCGCCTTCCTGTATGGGCCCACCACCTGCTTCCGCTGCCGTACTGTCCGCCGCGCGCCCCGTGGTGCGCGGCGCAGAAACCCTAATTTCTGCCCGCCGCGCGCTCGAGGCGCGTGGCGGTTTACCCTTCCGTGGTGCCTGTCGTGGTGCCCTTGGGGGGCATGCGCGGTCCCCTCCCGTCGCCCGTCGAGGCGCTCTCGGGGGCCCGCGCGGCCTCCCCTCCCGTCGCCCGTCGAGGCGCACTCGGGGGCCCGCTCGGCCTCCCCTCCCGTCGCCCGTCGTGGCGACCACGGGGGCCCGCACGCGGTCCCATCCCGTCGCCCGTCGAGGCGCACTCGGGGGCCCGCGCGGCCTCCCCTCCCGTCGCCCGTCGTGGCGACCACGGGGGCCCGCGCGCGGTCCCCTCCCGTCGCCCGTCGAGGCGCACTCGGGGGCCCGCGCGGCCTCCCCTCCCGTCGCCCGTCGTGGCGCCCACGGGGGCCCACGCGCGGTCCCCTTCCGTCGCCCGTCGCGGCGGCTCTGGGGGCCCGCGCGGTGCCCTTCCCGTCGCCCGTCGCGGCGGCCCTGGGGGGCCGCGCGGCTCCCTTTCTCGTCGCCCGTCGGGGCGCCCTGGGGGCCGCGCTCCTCCCCCCCCCCCTCCCTCCTACCTTTCACCTGCAGCGGCCGCCCCTGGAGCCGCCCGCCACTGCAGCAGCCGCCCCTGGAGAAGCCCGCACCTGCAGCAGCCGCCCCTGGAGCAGCCCGTGCCTGCAGCAGTCGCCCCAGGACCCGCGCGAGCCGCCCCTGCAGAAGCCCGTCCCGTCCCCCCCCCCCCCCCGTGCTGCCCATTGCTCCCATTCCGCCGTGCGTTCCGCGGTGGTGGGGGTGTGGGGTGGCGAGCATGGGGGTGCGAGGTGTGGGAACCGCGGGGAGTGGAGCTAGGGGGGTGACGTGGGAGTGGAGCTAGGGGTGCAGCAGGGGGTGTGTGGGGGGGGTGCGGGACAGTTGGGGGAGGTTGAGTGGAGGCAGTCGTCTTTTCGTCCGCAGCGCCTGTAGTCCGGAGCCGTCGCGCTCTAGTAGCCCAGCGAGCCTGCTGCGCCAGTCGCCCGTGGGTCCGTTGCTCCTGCCGCTCGTCGTAGCCGCAGAGCCTGTTACTCCTGTAGTCCAGAGCTGTCGTGCTCTCGGTAGCCACTGTGCCAGCTGCTGCTCCTGTTGCCCGTGTGTCTGCAGCTTCAGTCGTCGCCTCCCATCTTCTCTCCTCCCACAGTCCCTCCTCCTCCTCACTTGCCTACTGTGACTGCCTCTAGCTTTGCTCATAATTGTGAACTATTGCACTGCCTGCTCATTGTGCTGATTACACCCCACTTTGGCTATGGGGGTGTGTCAGAGTATGTTATTTGTGTAGCCTGCAGTGGGGTACTCAATAGTGAGTACATCCCCTTAGGGTTTGCTATTTGTATCCTGCTGCTTGCTAGTCCAATCATTCCTTTTCTCAATTCTGTTCGTGCACACAACTCTCGATCATACTTGGCGCCTCCTTCCTAGTCTTAGCTTGGCCTAGGCTACTAAGCCTAGGCCCGCCTGCTAGTATGTTTGACAATGTTTGACATCCTTTCCCGACCTCCCCGCCTAGCTAGCTTTTCCCCTATTTAGGCCTCGGCATTCTCATTGTATCGTCATTCTATAATTCAACCATTCTCGTTATTCGTTATTCTGCGCACTCTCTTTTACAACTCATAACACCTGGTATCAGAGCTACTTTCCTAGCTCACCCAGGGTTGACGTTTCAAAAAAAACCACTGATTTTTTTGGGGGTAATTTTTTTTTTTAGTCTGAGGCATATTTTCCTAAGAATGTCCAGTCTGATTTTCCAGGATCCACACAAGTACAACTCTGAAGACAAAAAATCATACCAAAGAAATGTCGAAGGTATTGGCTTGGTATCGTTACAGAGCAGATTCTCGCTGGTGATTCGGACTTGACTGGACTTGACTGGTCACAGCAAATTCTCGCTGTCACCGCAAATTTGCTGTAACACACCAGATTCGCACCGTCACATGCACAACGATTCGCCCAATCACAGAAAAATCGGCTTGGCACAGCAGATTCGCGCCGTCACAGCAGAACAAATTCGCCCAATCATAGCAAATTCGCCCTGACACAGCAGATTCGCCCTTTCACATCACAACAGATTTCACCCGACACAACAATTTCGCCCTGGCACAGCATGTTTTGCCCGTAGGTAAGGATTCGCATTTCAGATTCCGTACTCTCTGTAGTCTGAAGACTCTTTAGCCGTCAAGTCAGTAGTCTGAATTTTTCAGTATTAAAAAATAACTAAGTCTGAAGTACTCATGATTGAAAATCTAACAACTCTGAAAAATCAGGATTCCAAGGAAAAAAGGTCTGAGATTTCAGACAATCAGACTAAAATGGTCTGATAACGTCAGCCCTGAGCTCACCCCGCTTTTTAGAGTGTAATATATCAGAATCTTAGGCATGAATGAGTTGACTATCGAGAGAATTGGTACAAGGAGAAAGCCCTAAGGGGTTATACCCCACATTATCTACCCCAATACAGCCTACCCACAAATATAACATATGCATATGTTTGACACACCCCCATAGGCAAAGTGGGGGAGAACAAGAGGTCACAAGACCAGTCAAGAAAAGCAAAGCAAGCTCATGGTGGATCACAACGTCACCACACACACTGAGCACAAGCAAAAAAGGCCACAAGGCCAGTTCACATGCAGAGATATATATGCAACAAAAACAGTACAGTGATCTCTACCTAGCAAGAGCAAGCATGCAGGTATATATATATAGATCACAGTACAAGCAGAGTCTACAGCAAGTGTGGAAACTTAGGCACAAGGCCCAACAAAGTACAAAAGCGCTGATGATCACCAGACGGAAGTGCCTTGGTGAATTTATCAGCAGTGTTGGCCCGAGTGGCCACGTGAGCAAGACGAAGCTGACCCCACTGCTGCAACTCTCGAGCCAGGAAGTAACGCAGAGCGATGTGCTTCGTTCTGTGCTCCAGTCTGTGCTCCTGACACAAGGCAATGGCTGCCTTGTTGTCGACATACAGAACTGGAGGAGAACGAGGCCTCTCTCCCAAGTCGGTCAGCAGGTAGGTGAGCCAGCGTAACTCCTGTGCAGCCATGGCTGTGGCGTAGATCTCAGCCTCACAACTGGAGCCGAGAACAGAAGACGAGCGCGTAGACCGCCAAGAAACAGAGCCAGAGCCAAGACTGAAGGTGTAACCTTGTGACGACCACTGCGTAGCCTGGTCGTCAACCTAAGAAGCGTCCGAGTGACCAGTGAGGACAACGTCGCCCCGTCCTCCAAGCACGAGCCCCATGCCCGATGTACTGCACAAGTAGCGAAGTACCCTCTTAGCTGCCTCCATGTGCACCTTTCGGTGCCGACCAGGAGCCACGTAGCGAGCCTGAAGGCCAAGAGGGTACGCGAGGTCAGGACGAGTGCAGGTCATCAGGTACATGAGGCAGCCAACTAGCTCTGGGTAAGGACCACTCGACTCTACGGATTCGTCCGAAGGTGGAGCTGAGAGCGACTGACATGTAGCCAGAGGAGTGGCCTGTGCCGAGGACCAGGTGAAGCCGAAGCGCTGAAGGACCTGCTGCACCATGTGTGACTGAGTCAGTGTGATGGTGCGGCGTGCTTTGTCCCGGGTGATCTGCAAGCCAAGGTAACTGCGCAGCTCACCCAGGTCTGTGCACGTGTGTCTCTTCTGCAGCTCCGACTTCACCAAGGCGAGAGCCTCAGTGTCAGCAGTAGCAAAGACCAAGTCGTCGACGTACACGAGGATGTAGAACGGCGGCAGCGAAGTGTCGGTGCGCAGAAACTGCGACGGGTCAGCAGTCAAAGGAGCAAACCCAAGAGCCGCAAGTGTCGTCCTCAGTGTGTCGTGCCACTCACGTGGCGCCTGGCGGAGACCGTAGACCGGCCGCCGGAGGCTCCACTGGGTACCAGGACGGAACGACCCAGTGAAGCCAGGTGGGCGGCGCAGCCAGATCTCCTCGTGCAGGCTGCCCTGTAAGAAAGCTGTGCTGAAGTCAAGTGAGTGAAGCTCATAGTCACGCTGAGCGGCAACGTGCAGCAGCACCCGAAGAGTGGTCATCTTCGGGGTGGGGGAGAAAGTGTGGAAGAAGTCAACTCCCTCCCGCTGACTGAAGCCTCGAGCAACGTAACAAGCCTTGAAGATAGGCGGAGAACCTGGCGGCCGCTTCACCCTGAAAATCCACATGCCGTCGACGAT